GATACAATAGTATCGGATTGATTCGATATATATATTATCGATATATATCAAGCACTCCTATTTCGTTTGTCGGATTGCAAGAGTGTTATCTTGTAGAGCTAGCTCTAAATCACAAATTAGAAAGATTAAGGGTCGTATTCCAGAACTCTACTCAATGTTCAAGTCAGGATTTGAGCAGACTTGAGTATGATTTCAAGCACTGGACATACAACCCTAATGGCAAGGACTTGAGTATGATTTCTAGTGCTTTGAAACTTAAGTCCTAACTTGAGCATTGAATACAGTTCTAGAATACGACCCATAGTCTCTAAATGTGCTATATGAACGTTGTATAACGAAAGAAATCGGTAAATGTTAGATGTTTTAAGTTAACCAACGGCTGTAGGCCCGACGACAGAATCCTACTCTACCAGATATTTTGATATTGTTAGTGTCGCACATCTAAATGTAATCATTGTTATTCAGCAACAAAGACTACATACGCTAGTAATGGTTATCGCCACATACTACTTAGTGATGGTTATCGTTTACTATAGTATACAATGTACTCGTGGTTGTTCAGAATAGACATGGGTAACTCCGGAGTCAAAGATTCAAATGAACCTTATTGAATCCGATGCAATGTTATCGACTCCGTGGAGTTATTAACTCCGGGACCGGGTTTGGCACATTCGGATCGCAATTGCAACTCTCTTCGGTTCCCTTTCGGAAGATTGGTTCATAGTGTATAATATAAGGTTGGTTCGTTCGTTGTTGTGCCTTCCTTTCGGTCAGCGGGCGATCCAAAGGGGCGATCGCAAGTAGATATTAGAGTGAGACGTTATTCGCAAGATTGCATGGCAACGGCATGTCAAATGAAAGAGACAAATGTAATTTTATACTTGAGAAAACATTGCGCAGCAAGCAATTTTCGCTGTTGCACTCACAATGTAATAGATCATCATGTAATACATAATATTGACTGCTCGTGCTTCTTTCCCAACTATGTTATAATTTTGACGTTATTTCTTTACGTTTGAGTTTATGGAAACAATGTATTGTAATGGTAATTGTAATTTGCGAAAGTTTAAGTAAAGCCCGCTCCGGAGTTTTAATTTATGTTTATTTTTAAATGTTTCATGTACTATTGATATGTGTAAATATTGGACGAATTGTGATTTTGGACTCCTAAATTTGTGTTGTTTATATTATTTGTAAATAAACTTTCCTAATTCGTGAACTTCATGTATATTCGATTTTCTATTGAAACTTTATTGTTACTGTTTTACAAATTGTTACGGTACGGACAAATAAAAGAAGCGAAGTTTCATTTGGGGACATTTGGACCAGATAGCTAGTAAACAAGCGAAATGTCTGTATTAAAAAATTATTATAAATTTATTTAGTTTAAAAAATATTGCCATAAGAATTGACTTAGCCCGCATCAACCACAGTTCCTCATCTCCTAGAGTTCGCAACCATCCACCTCCAAATAATCAATATGGGCTGAGTTCGATGATTGTAAGTGCTGAAGTTAGTGTGCTCTATCTATTTAAAAGGGTTAAATGGCACCAACACGAGATTAACTGAAATACCTATCTTAAAATGAGTAATAATAAAAATGGTGTCTATTTTAAAAACTCAGAATCTCGATCATTGATTGAATAGAATCCGCAGCGACTTACGTTTGGAGTTGTGAGACTCAATGGAAAGCCGCACAAACTAATAAGAGATACTACGTGAAAGCCGTGTACCAATAAAGGACACGGCATAGATCATACACTATATCGTGATCGAACCAATCAAAATGATCCGAACAGTACCTGTGACCCGATAACCCGAGTTACAAGCTCCTAAATAACCTGATCATTTTAGAGTTTCACAAGTCATGCGTGCAATATTTGACTTTATTTTTATAAAAATTGAGATTATTCAACAATTCACATAACAATAAATCTGGAACTGACAAGATTATTGTTGTCTCGTTCATTCTCACGTAAAGTTCTCACGACCCGATTCGCCTTCTCACTCTGTTAGTTCGGGTCGTATGGACCATTCGTTTCATGGAAAATTCGTTCGATAGAACCTATCGAATCAAAAATTAACCAATCACGGACGGGTTAACGAATCATCGAGTCTTTCAGGGTCGTATTCTAGAACTCTACTCAATGTTCAAGTCAGGACTTGAGTATGATTCAAAGCACTAGAAATCATACTCAACCATTAGGGTCGTATTTCCAGTGCTAGAAATCATACTCAAGTCTGCTCAAATCCTGACTTGAGCATTGAGTAGAGTTCTGGAATACGACCCTCAATCAATCATCCTATCCTATCTCGTACGTAACATGGTAATTTTGTAAGTTCGTTTAGTTTATTTTTCGGTGTGTTCCTGTGTTGTGATTAATGTTTTTTGAGTGTAGTAAACCCCAAATTTTCTTCTAACTCTAGTCGCGTTAAATAGCTGTATTGGGATGTATTTGCAAAAAGTTTTTGAAAAGAATATGATTCATTGTTTTATTATATATATTTTATTATGTTTGATACTTATTAATGCTGTGATGAGTGTTTGTAGACACCGTGCTTCAGTTTCCGTGGTTTTATTGTCCATACTTTAAAATAATTTAAAATAAATGACTTAACGCTGCGTTAGGTCATTTTGTTTTGAATTTTATGAAAATTACTAATAGTATACAGCGTGTTGCAAGGGTATACACAGTACGATGTACTATTGGGGTAATCGTCTGCACGGTGAGTAAATATTATTTATTATTTGGTGATGACGTATTTCTGTCTGACTCTTAGATTTCAGCACCTAAGTAAGTAATAAACTCAGAAAATCAGATTGTTTCTACAAATTGAGAATAGGAACTAAACATAAATAATGTTTCCTTTCACCTAGCGAGTAAAAAAAAAGAATAAGACCGGCCGGCCGTCGCCCGCTAAAAGATCGATCATATGATCGAGTCATTTAACCCGATTACATCGGCCATGGGTTATGATCGACCCGGGTTATCAGAATTGATCGATTGACACAGGTCCAATTCAATCATTCAGATCATCGTAGTCGAGATTACCCACTACTAGTTCAGAACTAATGTGGGCGAGACCAATTTTAAATTTTCGATGTTTTCGTAAAGGTAGATGGCGTTTTAATAAATAATATTGAAAACAGCTGCGACAGTGTTGCCAATCTACTGCAATTACCACGTTATACGGTAATTAAGCAAAAATAAAATTGTAAAAAAGCTAAACTATTGCCGGAGCGGAATCTACGATAATTAGCAAAAGGTTTTGTCATAGTTAACAATTTTGAGATACATTTGTTATTCAAACTTTAAGATTCTTTGCTTAAGGTTGGCCCCTGACAACAAGCATAGAAAAATTCGTGAGATCCGCTGGTTCGTTCCGTGGCTTAGTTGGTATTGCGTCTGACACGGTATGCTAGTTCGAACCGGCCGGATTGAAGGAATTTTTTCTGAGTGTTCAATCTTTGTATTAATAATTTTGTATACTGTTTCGCGATTATCAAATATTATAATACACAAAAGATTAAAAACCACAACAATACTTACCGAATCAATGTGAATAATTTAAAACGTGAAATTTATGTTCACACAAATAGTCTAGTAGTGAAATGTGAGTAACACATCGTTGTAAATTAATTTTCAAAGGAGACTCCATCTGCGTCCACTATCTTGAATGTTTGACAACAGACTAAATGATGTGCAGCGTTTTCGCCGCATATCAGTGAAACAGCGTGTGTTTGGAGCGCCACACACGTACGTACATATTGTTGACTGAAACCAACGATATCTATGTACTGAAACTGACAAAAACTATTAACAAGGTGAGACAACAAAAGCATGGACTAAAAAAAAAACACCACAAAATATAACATTTGTAACTTTAATTTAATTTCTTTAATTTAATTTCATCAACTGTGCCATTTAGGTTTTCTTTCGTTATTTTCGTACCTTCCATTTCTTTCATTTGTAAATATCATTCTCCACAGTCCGAGATTTCAATATCTCGGACTGTGGAGAATGATACAGTACATCTATTGCGACCTATTCTTTTGACACTACCAGTGAAAATATTTTGAAAGTTGTATTTTTTTCAAGAAATTGCCAAAGGTAATGGGATGAAGATGGGATGAAGGTAGGATCCGTCATTAGGGGAAACCTCAATTCTTTGCACATATACAACATATAGAGCTACATCTGATAGAATTTATTCTTTCCGACCAATTTGTGTGTTCTGTGGAATCGAGGTAGTCTTTGTTCAGTATTTTGTCATAATGAGTATGTAAAGTTTTTTCCAGAGCTTTTTCGGTTGAATGGTTGTTTAAAAGTATTGGCGGTATCTATTTTTGATATTTTCTCCATACTGCCATAGTAAGAATCTAATTCATTTGCATCATTAGTGTTACAGAGATCATCTCCTCATTCTTTTGCAATGTTTTTTTTTTTCGCTGTACAGACCACTTAAGTGTCCATTTCGCTACCGTTAGCAGGTATAGTTACATTGTGACCAACACAGGGGGACATAGATTAGGGCCTAAGTCACCCAAAGCAATATCAGGAGGTTCGGTCGTGCAACTCACATAGAGAAAATATTTACAAAATTTACCAGATTTACAGCAATTTATACACAAATACAATTGATGAATACTAACTTCTAAAATATTCACACTACGCAACTCAAATTATCGAATTAATCAATAAAAATCAAGTTTAAATTTTTTGTTACAAATGTACGTCCGCCTTCTTAGAAGTTTCCCGCGCTTTTTCCTTGAAAATATTAAGCGCTGATGTATCTACAAGATTTAAAGAACGATGATATTTAATCTCTTTAAAAATGAGAATATCAGCTGATTTTGCATACCAACGAGATAATGCGAGATTTGATCCTGGCAACACTGAGTCATCTACTGTCATTGACACATTGTCAGAATTGTCACTCATTCATTACTACCAGCTAAATTAATAGACGTTTACATCTACTGCGAAGTGACTAAATTTTGTCTTGTTACATATGATTTCATCCTGCTATTAATTTCTTTTCGTGGCCGGAGCTTTTTGAGCAGATGACTTTTGTGGAAGGTCTAACAGGGAACTGGAACACTAGCGTAAGCAACAATGGAAGTTATGCTTTCAGTACTATGACAGAAAATAATAGGTACTGGTACTATTTTCTTGCAAACTTTCTATCACACTGTTTTTCATTCCTTGTAAATTACACATGTTATTCACATTGTACTTAGTAACAAAATTTGTACTTATCTGTTACAGAAAAAGATCCAGAGAAGATGACACTTGCGAGTTCATGCCGCTATCTAAGCGGATCAACAACTTGCACATAAACAATAATTTGGGAAACAGAAGCAGCGCGCATATGCCAGAATCTAGTCATGTCAATGGTATTAATACAGACAATGGAATCTCTTCTCCAAGTTCGTCTTCAGACTCCGAAAGAAGACCCTCCTATGATCCAGGAATAAATTCCTCACAAAGCAGTTATTATTATGATAATAAGTTATTGTTCGAATTACATTTGGAAAGAGTTCAAAGAACAGGACAACAGTTTCCATTTTAAATCTAATCTTTGTGAAATGCGAGTTTCGGTTTGTTGTGTGTGTCAATTCATTATTATTATTGTTATGCTTATTGTATACTGATTATGTCATAATCTCTAGCATTAAAGTTTGTATTTTTAAACTTACGAGATAAGTGTTTGGTAATAATGTTAGATTTCATGCCAAATCTTAATTAATAATATGTATAAAAAAGAACCAAATTTTTTGTTTTTTTTTTAACTTACCTACCATGTTTAGCGTTTTCTTTTTTTAATGGCAACATTCAAAAGTTGCTTATGTCAGATATCAACCAATCATGATTACGGACTCGCGCGCTGTCTGGTGTCGATTTTTGGAAATAGGCAAGACAATAATGGCGGATATCATTTGTTGTCAAGATAAAGCTAGCTGCTTGCTGTTTACTTGTTATTTTTATAATTTAGAACATTGAATTGAGCCTAATGACCAGTACATATAGAAATCTTCACCTTGTGGATATATTAATTTAATTGGTAAGTCTAATTTGTAAATAGTACAGTGTTTATGTTTCGATTGTATCCGTGACCCTATTACTGGAGCGGTACTTTCATGTACCGTTATCCGGGGCGCGTGGCGCGCTGAGTGGCGAGAAGTAGTCGCATCGCGTGTCTCGAAGCAGAGTGCCACCCCTCCTCTCGCGGGTCCCTGGTGGAGGAAGCCGGGAGCGGGAGTGATTTGGTAACGGCAGTGCATGGAGGGGAGCTCTCACTTGGTGGGGATGCGTGGCGTCCGCGCGGTGGACGCATTAAGGAACTGGTAGGGGTGAACAACCTTCGATATCTTTCTGGTTCCGCCCACCACCAGATGAGCTTTTGAAAACTTTTTATATTAAATTCCCATCTCTCAAACTTCTTTGTTATTGCGTAACTAAAACCTAAACGCCATTTTATTTGCTAATCCTTTGTCTCAACATTGCATGACAAATCTGAACTATAATACAAGATAAATCTTAATTTTTATTTCATTTACTCCTAATTTTGTGCAATGTTACAAAAATTACTTTAAAATCCTTAACCCATCAAATTGCACAAATTCCTTCATTAGTATTAGTCTCTTTAAAACATCTGGAAAGTTATTGAGGTCAATGACATAGTTTAACCTCAAGCAGACAACTTTCTAAAAAACATTGTAGGGTGATTTTTATCTAGTTTAGAATAATCAGAATGCAGATAAAATAAATGGAGTGTTATTGTTTTATCATAATCATCCATTTATTATGGACCATTTTTGAAAAAACAAAATTTGATAACAAAATTGTCTTATTAGTGAATATAATATAGTATACATATAGTATAGATATAATAGTGAATATAGTTTGTCTTATATTGTTTTTAATTTAGACTTTTATTGAGGTGTAATTCAACAGAAAATAATGAAATAATAATATACTTAATTACAATAGTTTTTTTTAATGAACTGTTTTAAAGATGAATAAACTAAGTCAAAAATAAAAGAATACAGAGTCTAGTGAACCACAACCACACATCACCACGTGTCTTGTGAAAGTATTCAAAGAGAAAGTGAGCATCACGTAGAGCAGAGCCATACATATATGCAGTTTATAGCCGTCTTGCCTGTAGACTCGTTTGAGAGTGCCGAGCCAGTATGAAAAACTTTCTTTAACCTACTTTCTTGTAGTCACGACCATCTTTCGCCTCTCACTCGGTTGAATTAATTTTAGTCGTGTATCGCGCGTGGTGTTTGGTAGTGGTATGTGCCCTACCATGGTCCCATTGTGATCCCGTGGCGGGCGCGGTGGTGTGGTGGTGGGACTGGTGGTGTTTTGGAGCGCGGACTCCCCGACGCGGCGCCGCAGCCCCTGTCGCGATGTGCGACATGCAGAAAATGCCCACAAGAGAAGATGCCTCTTGGTATGGGGACAAAGAATATTTTTTATTAGAAAAAAAAAGAAGAAATGTTGCTGTTAACAAAAAAAGAAAAGTTTTGATTGTTGTTAAATATTGGTGCCTTTAAGAATCAGAAATAAAATAGTTATAACTGTGCCAAGTCTACTGAGTTATACTAAATCTAAGTAATTATATTACTTGATAAAAATAACATAATTATAAATAATTTGTCAAATGGATTTCAGTTCCAGCTTTCTCTACTTATTGTGCAATAATTTTGCAAATATGGAGTTGAACCACTTTCTATTTCCTTCCTCGCTAGTTTAAGAAACAATCATGTTTACCATATTATTCACAATTTCTAAGTCAATTATTTCGGTTAAACAGTTTTTCGTACCAACTAAGTTCTAAATGTGAACAAACACTTTCATTTAACACAAGGCAGGCTCTTAGGTAATGCTACTTAATGCTACTTTGTTAATTATTCTTAATTGAAGCATTTAATAGTGTTCTTTTCTTTTTCATAATTTTTGCAAGTTGACTATAAGTTCACTTGCCATTGCCTATAAATTACAACATTAACACTAGAAAGACATAAATAAGTAAAAGTAAGAATAGGAATTTTCTAGAAAATCCCTTCAGCTCAAACGCGATAGAGAAAGTAGTGATGTGAACTTTGAACTATTTTGGAGTGAACTATCTTGGAGTGTAAATTTCATATTCTGTTTTGCCCCATTTTTGACGAAGAAATACAAATGGCATGAAGTGTTGAATGTTACCTATCAATTATGAAAAACTTTACAAGGCATTTCATTTATGTCTTAATGATTTCTTTTTCAACCAACCAAATCTGATTGATGATTCGTGCAACAACGATTAAGGAGTTTTTTTAAAAAGTATTTGCGTTTCCATAGAATCACACAACTTGTTTAAAATTAGATTAATTTTAATTTTTACACATACTGGCTTATCAAAAGTATTTATCTCCTTTTGCAACAGTGTTTAAATACAAAGATACCAGGAATTAATTAATTACAGAATAATGTTTTTGAAAAAGGCGGTATTCGGTTATATATTTTTGCTACAACAAATATATCAGGTTTATAAAGATTATTAATAAAATATTATCTGATTACAGTGACGAAGACTCCGACATGAATTTTACCGCTTTTCAAGCTGTTGGGGCAACTGGAACCCACTTCGTGACGACCACTGGTCAGGTGCCGGTGGCAAAGATCCAGCAAAATGTAGCCGCCAATGGTGCTACTATTCAACAGGTTAGACATAAGTACATTAATGCAAAAATTTTATAATTTGAAGTTACATTTTTATCAAAATTTTCACAATTAAAAAAAATACTAACAATTTTATGGTGAAATATTTTTATGTATTTTTTATTCTTTCATTGCAAAAAAGAGTGTAAATGTTACACATTCAAATTTACATTTCACACTAAAATAACATTAACGCCCTTCGGATAACCAGTAAAAAAATAACTAAGGTTGCTGAAAGGATCTACATAACATTTAACATCAATTTAAATCTTACATTTAATATCAACATTAATTATTATTATTTCATGGTTCTTTTCTTTTTAACTTCATAATTGGCATGACATTTTGTATATCCACTGGGATCTCATTTTATAGGCATATCTTTGTTTCTTCATGTTGTGACCGTTTGAAGACAATATTCAAGTCAATTCTTTTTGTACGTTCGTATTAAATTAATCTGTTATTCATAGAAATATTCTGTTATTAACATAAATTACTTTTTCATAATTACACAGTGATGACACAGTAAGAATAATTTGTTTGTACTTAGCCCAGCTCGTAAATTACCTTATTTGCACGGTTTTGTGCAACCAATTCATGTCGGCAAACAAAATGCTGTAAATGAGAATAGGTACAATAATAAAATTTTAGTATTCCACATCTAAAACCTGGTTACGTGTGGACCCTCTTGTAAATTAACATCTACAATTATACTATAAATATATCTTTTTTTTTCATTGTGACAGGTATTTATTTCACTAAATAAATAAAGTATAATCTACTTATTTCACTACTTCTGTATAAAATTGTAATTGCTTTAATTGATATATAATAAGACTTATACATACTATAATAAAATCTGATACAGCTTTTGTTTGTGTTGACAGCACGAGATGTTTCAGGTGGTGGGTATGGTGGGCGAAGGTATGCAGTACATGCAACAACCGCAAGTCATCTCCGTGCCCATTGCCCTGCCTGGTGCTAAACCTGGTATGATACCATTATACTATAGTTAAGCTTAATATATTCAAATTCAAAATAATCTTTATTTCATAGGTAAGCATTATTACACTTGAAATCTTCACAATGGTTAAACTCTACCGCTCATTCGTAAAGCAGATTCCCCTGAGAAGAATGAGCAAGGAACTAGGGGTTGCTCTTTGTAAATAACATTTGTACACATTCAACATTTACAATATTTTTTTTTATTTGAAACATCAGAGATCGAGACTACCTCCATGAGCTAAACGGGTTACTACCACGGATTTTTGTCATCCAATTACGCAGAAGTTGCATAATAACCTTTAGTATAAAGTTTTTGTTTCACTATCGTTTTAAACCTCGTGAAAGGCAAATTTTGTATATCACCCGGAATCTTCTTATAGAAGCGTATATGTTGCTCCTTAAATGATCTTTTGACTTTGTGAAGACGACTATCAAGAAAAGCTAGTTTATTTTTATTCCTCATATTATTGTTATGTCTGTCACTATTTTTCATAAAGAAATTACTATTCCTTTTAACATAAATTACATTTTTATAAATGTACTGTGAGGCTAGTGTAAGAATGTTAATTTCCTTAAACTTATCTCTCAAAGATACTTTGGGGCCCAGATTGTAAATTGCCCTAACTGCACGTTTCTGCAGGACAAAGATTCTATTGATATCGGCGGCATTACCCCAAAGCAAAAAACCGTACCGTCATTAGACTGTGAAAGTAGCTGAAGTAAACCAATCTAGCGGTTTCGACGTCTGAAAGTTTTCTTATTTTTTAATCACGTACACTTCAGAGCCGAGTCGTTTTGATAACTTACTTATATGGGACCCCATTGCAATTTAGATCTAACGTTATACCTAGAAATACAACTGTATCCACAAGATTCAATTTTTCGTTTCTAACTACAATGTTTGTAACCGTCTCTCTAACTTTGGGTAAATTTCACACAATTTGTTTTTTTCTCATTAAGGAATAGGTTATTAACAGCAAACCAATCAACTACTTTTTAGATATAGCATTGTTCACATCGTCGTAGGAACATCGGTGCCTTTTAACTTTAATTAATAAGGAAGTATCATCAGCAAACAATACTTTCTCCGTTTTATACCCTCCATGAGGCTAGGTAAGTCATTAATATAAACTAAAAACAAAAATGGGCCTAGAATTGAACCTTGAGGGACACCCATGCTAATTGCAGACCCTGATGATCTCGTACCGTTAACATCGACCCTCTGTACCCTACCACGTAAATACGATTTAAGAAGGTCGAGATCACGTCCCGCCACACCATAATGGCGAAGTTTCCTGACCAGTGTATCATGGTGCACACAATCAAAAGCCTTGGAAAGGTCACAGAATACACCAATAGCATCATGTGAGACTTCCCATCCATCCCGTCAGGAAAGAGACCATCTTCAAAACATTTATTAAAGACACAGGCTAAGTAAGGCGCAATACAATCAACTATAGAACTAATTACTCTGACTGAAAGACCATGAAGATCAGCAGTATTTTTTATGTTTATAGATTTAAAGGCTTTAACAATGTCGTTTGGAAATACATGACGGAACCTTAAATTAGGCATACTAACTGCATTATTTTCTTTTAGTAAGGATTTAGCGACAGTGGGAGATGAATTTACGACTTAGTAGTCAAAAGTGGAATGTCAAAAAAAAAAATTTCAAACATTTTAGCAACTTCTGCGTCTGTGTTTACATTTTTGTCATTAAATCTTAGTTGAACATCTTAGTTACGAGGTTTGACCCTTCCAGTTTCGCTGTTTATAATATTCCAAGTCAGTTTTACTACATTCGCGCTGTACATGCTCAACAAGCCGTTCAAGCTCTATGCAGGATATCTCTATAGTCCGCTCAATACATAGGCTCACAATATCTGTATGTTCTTTAAATTTTTAATTCTTTTTAATAAAAATTAAAGAGCCACCATGAATAGCTTTTTCTCTGCTGAACGAACAAGCCATCTGGTGATTGTTGAAGCTAAAAATGAACTGATGTTTTGATAGAAAGTGGTGTGTAATGTCAGTAATACAAAGAATGTCAATATTATTACAGTTAATAAATAATTCTATTTCTAACTCTTTGCCTTTCATGCCTTGAATATTTTGGTGCGCCAGGTTTAATATACAATTTATTTTATTTCTGTGTGTTTTAGGTTGGTTTTTTACTGTCATTGTGTTGTTAAGAGTATCTCTCCGTTGTCTTATTAATTAATTTAAATAATTAGAAATTGAGTTATTTTCAACAGGTTGATTATTGTCAGTAAACTGACCTATGTCAATGGACTGCTAAATAGAAGCAGCCGGTTTGGTAGCCAACGATTTGGCTGAATTATTAATATAATATGATAGCAACTCTCTGTCTCGTAAAATAACTAGTAAGATAACACCTATCTTTAGTCAAATAAAAATATTTACTAATAAAATTATTAGTATCCATAAAATGAAATTTACTATAATGAAATGTCAAGCTGTGTAATGTTCTATTTAAGTTATGACTCAAATTATTTTCACTTGTTGTGAGGCTATTGCTGAAGGGAAAAGCTTACAAAGTAATATCGTTTATATTTATGAAATTATTTAATTGTTAAAAATATAGAATTAAATCTTTTTTGTTACATTTGCCTTTTCTGCCAATTAAAATTATTAATGAAGTGTCTTGGCCAAATTTAGTTTACAAAATGCTATCTAATATTTTACAGTATGTTGCACCTGGCATGCAAATATTTGTTAATTTTATTCCTAGGTGATTAAGTTGCAAACCTATATTTTTACCCATTTTATCACTATAAATAACAATATTTTTTTGAATTTCATTTGATCTAGTTATTGACAAAGAGGTATTTTTTTATTCTAAACAAGATTCCTGCAACAACAATAAGGAGGGATCAGTGACACACACAGACAGGGAGGATTGTGGTTTTATTCTTTGCTATTGCAAACTTGATTATTCATTAAAGACTCAAATCTGTCATTATTATATTTACATTAATTTAATAAATTATCCATAGGCTGTGTGTGCTCCTTAATCTCCTATTGAGCGGTTTCATATTTCTGTGTTATAAATTTTAATGAATTTGTTACACTATGTAATTCTGCCTGGAGGCGCTGTGTGTCACATTCATAGCTAAGCCTATTTTTTTTTCAAGATTTTGAGTACAATCAATTCATTCAACAAACTCTGATGTTCTTTTCTTAATGATATATTTTTACAAAATGCTACATTTTTCTTTATTAATTTGTTTGTGCTGGATATGTATTTATTAATTTTAACATATCTTTTAAATTTTTTTTTTGTTACAATTTAAAGTTAAAGCTGTTGAATTAAATGAGTGACTTTCACAAGTCAGATCAATGTTGATTGATTCTGAATAGGAGGGTGGTACAGCACATACCATTGAGGGAGCACTGCTGACCAGCTCATCAAATAGGGACTGCGACTGTGTTGACTGTTGTTTGTCCCTTGCTTGTTCCATTATAGTTATTTGATTGTATGTGTCTCGTTGGTCACATTCTATTGAAGAAATGCGCGCAAGGGCTTCTCTGAATGCGCTGCTGCTTTGGTTGAATCCATCTACCACTATCTGTAGCTAGTCAGTCTCTTTGGTGTTGTACCTCCGTAATTTGTATAAGCAATTCAGCCATATCACTTTTTAATTGCCTATTCCTATCTAAAATGTCCAATATTTCTTTTTCACTATTATTTCTTTCTGTTAGCAATTGCTCATTCAGTGCCCTTGCTGTTTTGAGTTCTAATAAAGCGTGTTGGAGTTTATCCTCCAATTGACGTTCCGCAGCAGCTTTGCGAGTAAACATTGTTTATGCTTTTGAAAAAGAATATGAAAACAATTTGAAAAGAACGTTAGCAAGAAAGACAGCTGATCGAGCGATTACTAAAGTAATTATTTTACTAAGTGATTACTAAGTGAGGTTATGTTACTTACAATTTATCCGTACAAAGACTAAATATTAGATAATTATAAGTTTAACTACCTGTTTATCTTAATAATTATGGAAGTACTTACGAAATAGCATACAATTTTAAAAACAAATTCGTAACGTATATCTTTCCAAAGTGACTTGAAAAATGCACAAACTACCTTTAACCTCGATAATTACTGTTGCAGTTGTGTAACAATGAATTTAATTGCTAAATGTGCTTTGCAACCACGGATATTATTTCACATAAGACACTTTTTGAAAAGTATTAGGCCGGTTAACCTGACGGTTTTCAACGTCACTTTGTTCACTTATTAAACCTGATCAAATCATATGCATGCACTTAAAAACTGTATAAGTATATTTTGTAATGATATTATTCAGCAATGAAATGGGGTTTTACTAGAATAACACGATAAAAACAATTAAATTAAGAAATAAAATTATAGGAACACTTAAGTTTAAAACTTAACCGCTGGGTTGCCAGCACAAAAACAAAATTATTATAACTAAGGACGTAAGACACAGACGCTACGTTTGTTATATTGTAGCTGTGCCGGCTAACAAAATACATCAATTAAAATGTCGCGAAGTCGTGACATTATGTATAACGGCGAGAAAATTATCACCGTAAAAATGCGGTGCTAGTTTTCAAGAATGGTAACAAAATTCTTGTGTTGTACACAACTTATCAATGTAAACAGGACAAATATTGATATTGGAATTTTAAGAAAATTTAAAATTGTTTAGGTGACCCGCAACCAACGGTGCAGATCCAGGTGCTCAACCCAAACCTTCTGCAGCAGCAACAGCAGCCCAAATATCAGATGCAGATACCCATCCAAGGTTTCCAGCAAGGTACTTACCTCCTATAGACTCACTTGTTATGTTGTGTCTATGTGTACTTGCACTATTTACCATATAAAATTTACTGGACAAAAAACATTCCAACAATTTAAACTTACTAAAATCCTGTAACATGTCGATATCTTACCATTCTTCTCGCCAAACAGCTTTCAACTAAAAAATATCCTTTCTAACCTAAAACAATCTTTTTTACGTTGATTTAAAAACTTAATTCATTAATATTTTTAACAGGTGGGGCTGTGCTCACAGTAGCTTACTCTCCAGAAGCAAATGATGGCAGCGGTATTCAGTTGTTAGGAAATACGTTACCCGAAGGTTAGTATATAATTTATCTTTTTTTTATAATACCAAGTGACGGGACGAACGGGACAGCAAACACCACTTAAAGAACAATTTGCATGATTCAATATCACACAGGCGGGTAGACTTTTTATAGTAGCAGTAGAGCTCCTTGTGAAAGAGTTCATCCAGGGTAGTACTGCCACCTTACCTATTTCTGCCGCCAATGTCCGCATTACTGTGTTCCGGTTTTGAAGGGTAAAGGTGCTGGTGAAATTACAGGCACATGGGACTTGTCGACTTATGTCTTAGGGTGACGGGCGCAATGGCAGTGCTCTTCAAATCTTTGCGATTTAAAGTTCTGAGTGGCACTGCAACTGTTATGGACAGGCGCGTTGCTTACCGTCAGGCGCACGACTCGTTCGTCCCGTCACTTGATATTATAAAAAAAAAAAATGTTACTTTGTTTAACATTTTTCTTCATATTTACCTACTCAGAACCAAATGATCGGTTAGGGGTCAGGTATCTTTGAGCATCGACTGTACCTGTTGTGAGTAGAAGTTAGTTCTTCATAATTCCGTAACTTGGCAAACCCTTCAAATCTAGTTTGTCGGCATTTATCTTAAAAAAAAAGAGTGATAACTGGGAAGTACAACATGTCGATTGATGATGATGAGATTCGCATAGTAGAAATCGGAAAAAATATTTAGTGTTAACAATTCGCCGTGTACACTTCAAGCAATACTGAAACATTATTTTTTACATGTTCAGGTACTTTCAGGATGCGAACAGGTGATTTTTCACATTTTTACTTTTAAGTGTTCACTAATATTTTATGTTGTTACACTGTCCTTTGTTCATTGTCATCGTCATTGTACTTAATTTTTTTCACTTGCTCTTTGTTTCGTGTTTTTAGTCAATTATTTGGGTACCTTAGTGTTTACTGCTTTATGTTGCACATATATTGTATTTACTACAGTGTCTGTTTTCAGTACTTATATTATGTAATAAAGCATTTACTTTAATGGCATCTACTAAGTCTATTACGCAAGCTTTTCTTTCGACATAAACAAGTCATTGCGTGTTCCAAGGTAACTAATAATATAGTGGATAGTGATAGATATGCTACTCTAGTAAAATCATTTAATATTCATTATCAACCCTTTCGAATATATCAAATATTAATAATTAGTTATATAGCATGTCAAAAGCGACCATCCCTTTGAAAAGAAAACCTGGCTCATTACCTCAGTATCCCAGTAACGATACAGAGATACCTCAGTGTCGTTACCAACGCAGTAAGCGGGTAATAGCATTAACACATTGTTTATTGCTAAGAAGTAAATGATTTCAAGTAAGAATTGCGATACAAAAAAAATCTATGAGGTAGTGTAGTAAAAACGATTACCAATTATACAATCAACACAACTCTTAATAGTGAGTGCACAACAAGACTGTAAAGTGGTTTTCAACAGGTCTTCAAGTGCTGGCTGCGATGCCTCAAGAGATGCAGCTGTTGCAGCCATCGCAGGCACAAACGCAAGACAAGGATCAGCCCCAGCAAATACAACATCAAGTTAGTATTGGATTGTTTTTATTTTAGATTTATTATGTGTTTAGACACTGCCAGGTTAATTTACAACAATGATTAATAATTTATTTATAATAAATTGGATGTACCTGGAATGTGTTGCAATGCTATTGAAAACGTGTAAATTCCCCAAACTGCATTGACCTAGCGTGATGAGGCATAAAGTTGTTAAGTCTCATGTGTCCATAGTTTTTTCACCGTTATATTAAATTTGTGCTTAGAAGGGACTCGTGCTCCTAGTAGTGGCATCTAATATTCCAGTTTTAAGCGGCAATAACATTTTTTGCAGGCTTGGACACATCTCACGAATATTTTATCTCAGACAGATGAAAAATAATGGGACGTATATGGGACAAACATTCATTCATTTTGTCTATGTAGCTTATATTTTAATGCTTGCAGTTTTTTTACTGAGTTTCATTGTATTATAGATGAAAATTTTCTAATCATTTGTTTGAGAAACAATGACAATTCCAAAGCAAGTACAGTACATCCCTATTTTGAATAAAGAAATACTTACTTACACTTTTTTTTGTTTATTATTCAGGTCTTCATAACGCCTAACCAGCAAATCGTGATCAACAGTTTGGACGATAACAAACTGAACAACAATACGTCCAGCAACAACAACAATGTAGGCGTCGCTAACATTGTCATTAAAGAAGAGTGTGACGACAATCTGAACGATGACGTAAGTACCGAGCTTTGCATAATATTTGAAAATCAAACAGCAAAATGTTTCAAAACGGTAAAATAAAATTTAAGGGATTTTTGTTATATTTGTACAGGTTATATTATAACCTATAAATAAATTTGTTATATTATTATTGTTATAACTCATACAGGTTGTAATAAGAAGGACAACTAACTACACACACTCCATTATTTTTTTATTTTCAAATTACGACACCTAAAATGAAAAATAAACAACCGACCTGGCTATTGAAAAAACACTGCGTTGTTTTGGAGATTTAAATAGTGTTCCACTAAGTGCGCCGGTGTGTATATTAAGTGACAATTTTAACTGTTTAACTTGTTAATAATTATTAGTAAGTCAAGCCTAAGACAGGCTTTCTTATCGTCGTCGTTATCCTTCATTTTTACAATTACAAATAAACCTACATAATTTGCAATTCTATATGTCGATCAAAATGGTTAATAATACTATGACGGTTTGTTGCAGGAAAGCTCTCAAGGCACGGAGACAAGCGACAGCATGTCATGGCAAACCACGAGCAGCAGCCATGCTGATCTCGTCAAGTACCTCAACACGTTACCACCGCAAGTATGACTTGTCTTGATCTGCAATTTATTATTTATTCAGAGGCGACTTGTGCTACTAGCAAGTTCATGGTTGCGAGTTTGATCCCTGACTGGACAGGGTTTGAAGTTATTAACTATATCAAGATGATACTTAAGTAAATGTATATTTTATTCCAGCAAGCGCAAGCATTACCAGCGTCGTTGCAGCAGTTCTTGCGGCTCAACCCTGAAGGCAAGAAGGTGGATCAGATCGAGATCGAGGTCGCCTCTATTGACATGGATGATGACAGGAAGGAACCCATAGCAGAAGCTGTCATAGAAGAAGGTAACTATGAAAAATTATGTGAGAAATGGGTCCACTCAGACCAACACGTAAAGAGTAACTCTATTGTGTACCCTCATAGTGTAAATAAACGTTACAATCGAAATGTTTTTTTAATTATTAATACATAGATCGAATGCTAAGAAAATTACTTCGATCCGGCTGCATTCGAACCCTTCAGCATACCATACCTGAAGGAGCTGGTTCGAATCCAGCAGAAGCAAAGGAATTTTTCTTAATGTTAGAACTTTGTATGAGTAATTACAACAAACTATTTGAGTAATTTCACAATAAATAATTTAATATCGTAGTAGTGAAACATCGTGATATTTCATAAACTTAATATTATGTTCTTAATTTTTAGACGGCTCTGTTAAAATTCAGAGCAAAAAGAAGAAAAAATATAAGAAAAAGCCACCAAAGCCGGCGCGACCGAAGCCAGGACAAGTTGTCATAGCACAGGCTTCCGATGGAACACCAATCTTCTGTTGCCCTGAATGTCAAATGGCATACCCTGAGAAGGAACAGCTAGAGATGCATCTGATTGTACATAAAATTGAACGGAGGTTTATTTGTGGCATTTGTGGGGCTGGGTAAGTGTTGGTCACTGATGTCTTATTTTATCGCTTTTGTAATTGTTTAACATGTTTTGTCATGTCTAACAGACACCAGCATACATTTTTGTGATCAGATCGCGGTCTCCTTTCTCGATTTAAGCTAACACGTATCTATCGCCCATTGATCGGAAGAATATCCGTATGAGGGAAGCTTGTTAAAAGGCTTGCGTGCCAGACCCTGTCAAAGGCTTTACAAATGTCCAAAGACATTCACTGCAAGGCCTTCGCTTTCCTTCTATGCATAGAGTCGCTCAACAAATGGGAAGCATACACAAAAAAATCTACCGTGGATCGCCTTCGTCGGAATCCATACTGGCGATCACTGAGGAGGTCGTTGTCTTCAAGATACGCCATGAGACGGAAGTAAAGTAAAAGTTTCATAATCTTCAGAGTATGGAAGCGATTGACGATAGGTTCTTTTTTGGCACAGGCCACACGTTTGCGAATTTCCCTGACCTGAGTTAGTACCCTTTTCGGGCGTACGAAGTTCCATACTGGCACAGGCCACAACCAGAGAAGGTAAAAACTGTCGGAGCCAGGAAAGTCCTTCAGTTTTCTAATGCTGTCAGCCTTGGCTCTGAACTGTAATTAGTAGAGCTTCAAATGCACTGCCACCGCGTCTGTCACCCTGACAGGAAAGTTGCCAAGTCCCATGTGTCTGTAATTTCACCAGCACCCTTGCCCTTTAAAATCAGAACGCAGTAATGCTAGCATTACTGCTTCGCGGCAGAAATAGGTAAGGTGGCAGTACTTCCCTGGACGAACTCTTTCACAAGGTGCACTACTGCTACTAAAACCATGTATGCAGTTAATAATTTAACCTACTGCTACTACTTTAATATATAATCGAATACCAGATTATATATTATTAGTTAGTGAAAGGCATTTTTCTTGCAGTCTGAAGCGCAAAGAGCACCTCGAGCGGCATAAGCTGGGTCACAACCCCGATCGGCCGTATGTCTGCGGAGTGTGCCGCAAGGGCTTCAAGCGAAGAGAACATCTCACCCTTCACACTGTCATACATTCGGGCGTTAAAACCGAGCTCTGTGGCGAATGCGGCAAAGGTAGCGTTTACGTGTTAGTTGTTTCTATACTGCTTTTACAAACGGTTTTAGGCTTTTCCATACTAATCGTGTTGAATATCCCACCAAGTATAGCGCTGGTGTGAACAGGCCTTTTTAAAAAAAATCAATAGGATAGGATTAAAACGCTCTCACAAAATATTGCGGTGAACCAAAAAGATTAGCTTAATTAAGTTGCTCTGAGTTATGCTGCTACTCAAGAGTGAAGTTATTGCTATTATATACCAACATACATTGTCTTATAACTACCTTTGTAATTATTGTTTTTTGTTTCTCAGGATTCTACCGCAAGGATCATCTGCGCAAGCACACGCGGTCGCATGAGACGAAGCGTGCTCGAGACGAGGCACAGGGCGTGACCGCCACCGATATCGACATTAAGCCCGCCATGAGCGCTAATAATACTATTATGCCAGAAATCACGATACATGTAAGAAGTGTTACCTATATCACGACTCTTCATCGTTTGCCCTTATTAATCTGTTTATTCTGAAAATGTAGTCCATCACTTCCGTAGGTGCCTTATAGATAGACTCTGTAAAGAGGCTACAAAGCCTCCCTTTGTAGCTTTCCTGCGGACACCGGCACCGAGTGCTTTTGGCGACATTATAGTTAACGGTCCGCTGCTGAACAGTGAACTGTTATATTTGAATGTTGTAATAACTTGCAGTGACTGCCTTCAGTTAAAAACACTTTATTATTGCTTTTTTATATAAAAAAAAAACCGACCTCAACAGTTCGTAGAATTACATCTATTTGCCAAGTTTTGTTGGAATCAGTTACCGAAAAGTCAGTTCACATATATATATCCGGAGTAATCCCGAAACATAAATTAAAAAAAAAATTAGAACAACCTCCCTTTTTGAAGTCGTTTAAAATTGTATCTTTTTATTTTGTTACAGATGCCTACAAGCGCAAACATGCAAGTGCCCGTCCAAATAAATATTCCTCAACATATGGTATCGTCTCTCCAAGCCGCACAGGCCTCTTCCGATGCGCAAACGCAACTAGACGCACTCCTGGCGCAGCATTCGTGACAGTACGGTTAGCCCGACCAGGGCAAGTGTGTTCTCTATAACGATAGCATGGTGTATACTGGTCAGGTACTTTAACCACTGGCATAGTTATACAGGCCAACAAACGTTAGACAAAGATAATTCAGTATTTTAGTTCAATTTGAAACGAAGTTACAGTACACTTCTCTATCTACTTAATCTGGACGACAGGGTATGACGATTATGGATTTACAATATAAAGAAAGATGGAACACACTTGCCTAACATATTTAAATTGTTGTAAAAATTCTGTAGATATAATATTGATTAGGTTTTTTACAATTATCCATTAAAAGTGCGTGCGAACAATTTTATACATCATATAGTTTAACGAAGAATGCATAGCAAACAATGGTGTTCTTATATCCAACAGAGTTTGAAATTTACACACACAGGTATAAAAAGTATTTGCCAATGTCAATTTTTATAAGTTTGTAAATATTTATTAAATATATCTTATGTTCCATTCCCAATTTTTCAATGTTTTTTTGGTAATATCTTGTTAGAAATTATAAGCTAAACCAGTAAAGTTTATTTCTATTTAATTATAACTAAGGTTCTACAACTGGAGAATTTGTTCATAAGTATATAATGATAAGTAATGAGAACATATCATCGTTTGTACATTTTTGTTATTTAACTATATTTTTGAAAACATTGATTCATCTAACACTATTTAAAATTAACTGATTGATGGGATTTTTAAGTGAGAAGATACGGAATACGGGATATATTTTTCCCGAATACCGGAAAAAATATTTATGCGATATTTATTTGCGTGTGTTGCGTGGGGTGTAACGTGTTGTATAGCTATATGCCTTTATTTTAAATCGGCACCAAACATCGTTTTTCACGGGAACTAGAAAACACTGCCAATGTACTAAATTTCCTTATTTACTTAGGTACACAATTTGAAGGGAAACATACAATCATGATTTTTGATTAATTTTATGTCGAGATACAGAGAATTAAAAAGTAAACTGATTTATTTTGTATAGCTATCAAATATCAAACGTCAGAATGACGGACTTTCAATTGTTTTCAATTATACATTTTAAGTGCACCCTAAATTAATTACTATAAGGTTTTTGTCCATAGTGCCGATATTTTGATTATTTGGATAAAATTTACCACTGGATGTGTACATAATGATTTTGAAATTGTAAATATCATTCCACTGTGATATTTATACCATTTCATCTCGTGAACATAAATTAAGGTGCACTTTTTATAATGGTGGACGAAAATCACTTAAACATAACACATTTTGTAATTGCAATGAACAAAATGTTTGTTAAAGTGGTTTAGTCACACTATGGCAATGGTAAATCTAGACCTGGTTTTTGTTCATAGATGTTGTGTCTTAAGTATTATACACTAAATACCAGGGCATTCTAATTAACGGAGTTGTGATTTCAAAACTATTCTATGAATATTGTATGAGCCTTTATGTCTTATTCCGATAAGTTGTGATAAGTGATTTTGTAATTAATTACATACGTTATATTAGTATTTCATATGAACTTGTCTTTGTTATGTGTTTTACGCAAGTATCTACAAGAGGTGGCTGAGAAGTAATCTACTTATGTATGAAATAAAAGACATCTACGGCTACTTTTCTTCAGTTCAATAACCCTGTAAGCATCGAGTATATAACCAGAAATGGAGACGAAATGTCATTTAATTTGTTTGAAAACTATTCGGCCATATCATTACTGTGACAACTGCGCTTCGATTGGCTAGCCCGAGTTCGAAACAATTGACGGGTGTCGTCAACTGTTTCACTTCAAATCGACCAGTTAACTTGAGCTTTGCTATAATGGACGAAAATTGCAAAATTACATATTTAATATTTAATTACCGATGAAATGTGATTCAGTTTGTTTTGAAATTAAATGTTTTGTGTTTTTCCCACACCACCAAATAGAACAGCACGGCATTGTTAGAGATATTAAATTTATAATAAATACAGAATATTTTTTGGAGTATATGGAGACGTACACACAGGTCAGTAGTTGGCCTATGTTTCAGTGCAAACGAGAGTTGACATTTATAAGAGCTGTATCGCTAATGTGTTACCAGGAATATATGGACCTTATTTCGTCTCTATTTCTGGTTATACACTTGTTGCCTGTGAGTGAAATGCACTTATTGTATTTGTTAGAAAGGAAAAGAGAAGTATTTGTCGAGTTCTTAGGTTTTCGCGATTGTTACACATAGGAAATGAAAGTATTTTTCCGGATTTAAATCGCGTATATTTGCTTGTTGCGTATAACGCAGAAGTATCTGTTTAAAAAAGTAGTTACTGATTTTTAAATATTTTTCTTCTTTCAACATGTACGATACGAAACGAAACGTAATACACAAAGGTCGCTAATTTTGAAAAGAACTAACAGCGAATCCGTCACAATAGTGGCGAATATTCTTTTTAATTTGGAAATAGTCAAAATAGATTACTTTTCAGCCGCTGATCGTATGTAGGTAGATAATTTCATTTCACATAAAAGTGTCCAGCAATACTTATTTGATTGTGAGCAACGGGAACAACAATCGGAATTGTATTTATATCGAATTTTAGAACGTATGCCATTTTTACCATGTACTCATATACGAATCCACATATCCAGGAAGCTTAGAGCACTGATTCAACCGTTATTTATATTAACAAAGTTATTTGATGTTCTCGAATATTCGCGCAATTTTGACATCGTCAGCTTTAATGTAGGTGTAAAATTGATTTCTATACAGGGTGCTGATTTGCATTCTCGCTATATTTAAGAAATTAATAATAGAAATAATGCTAAATCATCTAAAAATATTCTACTCAATATTCTGGCTATTTGTATCTAGTAAAGTTTTGTAAAATTGTCCCGCAAGTGTACTCACCGCAGAGGACAGTGCCACTCGCTTCACCGAGCGATACGGAATCTGTCGCGATCGCTTATTTACTTATTTTTTAAATCGTGTTTATGTATTAGTATTTTTATAATTTACTAATTATTTACATGAGTTAGAAAAGTTGACTGAAAAAAGATTTTTGTAACTTAGGTTTGGTACCTACTTACCAACTTTAGGTTACATGAAAGTAGTGCTAGAAGTATCTAGCTCCACAGCTGGTGGCAGGCTCCGCACCGGAGCCAGCCACAGATATGCAGAGTTTCGTTTCAACTTAGCACATTCTCCACAACAGAAAAAGCAGAAAGAAACCAGAGACGATTTTTACGCGCAAATCTTCGACACTCGTAATCTGCGTAAACTAAACGTTTCACATCATGCCATAAAAACGCCCTTTATGGTAATGCATAAAGTACTGGTTTTTTTTGCACTAACTTTTGTTTACATCACACACAAACCACGTTGCATTTCGTGAGAAACTAGAACGTATGCGCGAAGGTGGACTGATCTATCAATCACGCGCTCGATACGATACTCCCCACGTACTCTGCCTCCATATAGATCTAAAATGCATATTTTCTGCGCATACTACGCTTAGACTCGTGCCGGATCGGTCCTTAACGGGAGCGATTCTAGTTAGTTCAATCAGTCAACTGAACTAGGTCGGTCTTCTAGTTCAATTAGTTCATCTCGTTACTTAGTTAGTTCGTCTTGTCCTTACTCGGACATTAAACGAACGCTCCAAACTAGTAATTTTATTCACATGAACTACTGCGGACTTCAACTGTTATGAGGTCAATAACTACACTGTACTAAATAATTAAAAATACAATTTGTATGGAATCGGTACTATTTGATTTTCCTTCATATTTTACAGGTTTAAAGACTGTCATTCTATCTAAATATCCTTTTTTTTTTCAAAATAAGATTTTTTGTTAGAATGGTGTGTTTAAAAATGAATATTTAGGTACAACTATTTCATATACTCGTACACGTAGATTGATATTATACATACAGATACCTACCAAAAAATATTACTTTTTTGCAAGCTTGTATATATACATAATGTAGATACGTATTAGAGACTTCGAACGAGCTGGGAACGTTCAATCGTGCATCCCACTCAAACTTGTACTAAAAGTAGTGAAAGATCGCTGTTTGTCCCGCTCGCACCGTTCTTACTGTATAAAAGACAGGTGAACTATCAACGCAGACAGTCCTAGTTCGTACTGAACTAAAAAGAACTATGAACTATTAAAACCGTGCAAGACGAAAGAGTTCATGTCGGTCAGTGTTGGGAATATATTCCTAAAGTTCGTAGTTCATGAACTATACAAGCCTACTGTGCATAGGTCATTGTTCAAATGGTTGCCGGTACCTGTGGCACGTGCAGTGCAAGTCATGACCTTGGATCAAGCTTGGTTACCGCAATTAAATAAAAATAAGAATTTAGTAAATTTTTTAAATTTATTTTTTTAGTGATTTGGGTTCAGTTTCGGATATAGAACCTCTGTAAAATGGTGAGAATGTAAATCAACACATTGTATATGTATTTTTGTAGTTAGGGATGTAAGTTGCGTTAATTTTGCTTATTTAGGTGCTCATACTATTGTTACATGTGATGAAAAAGCAATCTTAGCTTCTATACAATAAAAATACACGTGATGAAATTCTAGCTAGTAACAATATTAAGTTTCATGAATAATTCCTACAGTCTGTCTTTTTTGAAGACGGAGTAAAATGACATTTGTAGGGTTGCCAGTTTTCATAAAATTTTAAATAGTTATGTAGTTGTTGTCAATAGTTTTATCGATAGATTGTGGAAGAAGATAAAATTTTGCTTAAATGACTGAATTGTGAATGTTACGAGTGACGTTCTAATGATTTCTTATTGCGTTATTGCCTTCTTTATTCTTATTTTGACAGTTTACTTACTAGTATCGAGATCAAATTTTATTCATATACATTTTAGTAAGAATAACCTTTATTGATTGTCTATATTAAATTAAAATGAAAAACTTTTTAATTTGTCTCCTCTTTGTATTTTTCATAACATAGTTCTAAATACAGTGTATGTATGTATGAACTTACAAAAATTGACAATTCACTTGAATTTGTGCTGAGCAATTGAATGAATAATGTCGAGGATGATTCAAATGAAACAAGGTCGGCTGTTTATTTCATAAACATAACCAACATTCAGTCGATAGTCAATATAATATTTATCGACTGCAATCTCTAGCCACTTTCAAGCGAACAACACTTGCGCAATGAACTGTCATTTTACTCCGTCTCCAAAAAAAGACAGATTTTAAGCGATGAGGTGAAAGTCAGTTTTACTTTCATTTCGATACATAACTAACTTATTATTTTGTTATTGCTTATAAAACATCGTACGTACGAAAATACTAAAAATCACAGATAAAGTATTTCTTCTGTAAATGCTTGTACATCGTTTATATTTTGAGATTCAACATTTTGTGTAAAAGCAAATAATATCTCACGATTACATTTACCATTTCGCTTCGTTTTCTTGTATCTTATGCTAAGGTTACAAGGAACATTTTCTCTTTTTACGTCTTTATTGTAATCATATTGAATTTTTTCAACGTGGCTCGAATTTAGTTAAAAGTATTATGAAGTGAACGATTTACTATTTTTTTTATTGTCATTAATCGACGAATAATCTCGACGGCGTTGTTAAGACACTAACCAGTCATGACACTCAATTGGGTAGTTTTTTACAATAGCGTTTTGTTTCTTTTGATAAATACGCTCACTGACGGGCAGACTTCCTTTAGAT